TGTATGTACGAAAACGGCAAGAATTTTTGAAAAACACACTAAGCCTGTTTTGTACATAGGTTTTTCAGCTGTGCGAAGAAAAGATAAAATGAAGTACGTTTCTTAATACAGCAAGATGTGCTCTATAACATGATGTTATTAGCTTCTGAAAATATTCAGCTTCTACTTTAATCACTCTGGTTGACCGTTAGCCAGACAAGCTCATTAGCTTTTTTGGTTTTTTCAATCTATTTTTCTTCCTAAGCATGATACAACAGCACATACCTGACTCAGACTTTAGAGTACTCCACTTGATTTGAATAAAGTGGAACACATAAAAGAAAAATTTAACAAAAGTAACCTTTTTTCGTGAATAAATTCGTTAAAATACATTTAATAAAAGGTGTAATTATCAATATATTGGAAATAATTTTTTTTCCAACTATATGTTTTAACAGAATGACATCTACTTCTTGATAATATTATATTTGAATAGTATAAAATAACTTCGACAAAAATGTCTGCCGAAGCTGTAACTTCGACAAAATTTTTGCCAAAGTTACAACTTCGGCAAAGAGTAACTTCGGCACGACATATATATATGAGATAATAAGTTGATGCTGATCGTGCCTTATTTAATGTGACTGACAGCTGAATGTATGTCGTTATAGAAGAAGAAAAATTTCCTTTATCTATACCAACTTCGATTCCCTTTATGATGCTATTTTCACGATATCAATTGTTATTTTTATGTCTGTGATAAACACTGATTCAAGAACTTTGTGCTGTTTATTACGCGAATGACAAAATATAAAGAGGTGACTATAAAATAAAAGAAATTATCTTTCCTTCTAACATTCTTTGAGGATATGAGCCAATTTCTGGTAGAAACCAAGAACATTTAATATCACATCCAATGCAGTAAAATAGTGAATTGCACTTGATTTTCGATATAAATGTAGTGAGAACTAATGTTTCAATAAAAGTGGGGTGTGGGGTATTCTTGGATGGAAATGAGGATAAAGTGAACACGAGTCTTTTTGATAAGTAAAGCGGGAGTAAGTTACGAACATTTTTAAGATGTCTCTTATAGCTGAAGGAACAAATTAATGTATCAGGCGATCGAGTCATAGTTATTGAGTTTTGTATTTAGAAAGAAGAAATAGTCAGCCTTTACGTTATGGCATAGTATTAAGATGTTGCTCGGAGACCGTTACGTAAGTTCTCTAATTTTTGTAGTACTAACATAACCAGTAACTTTGAATATAATGCTAGCCTGACTGCACCGATAAAAAAAATACATTACCGAATTTTTGAAGTTTTGTCCTTCTTTACGAAACCTTCTCAGATATCGTGCAACTGTACAGAACCTTGACGAGATTTCGTAGTCCATTAAGTTTCGCGAAAATCATTAGAGATTTCCTCTAGTAAAAAAAGTTTCGAACAACACCTTCTAGATCTATCCTAGTCAAGAGGTTTTGCAGGAATCCAATCTTTTTCCTTATACCATCTATAACAAGAACACATTTTCACCAATCAGATAGTGAAATGATCTGACGTCATTGCTTTGCTTATTCATTTACATTGACGCTACGATCAATTCTGGATATTAAATGACAACTTTCAGACTTGATGCTTCACAAATGAAAACTTTACAGTTGGCTATAGAACAAACGTGTTATGCATATATGAAAAGATCAACATAAAGAAATAAGTTGTTACGGAGTGGGACAAGGATTAGGTTTAGAGATATGGGTCTAGGATGTGGGTGTGGGTGTGGATGGAGGAAGTCAACCCACATCCACAGCCGCACCCACCCACACCATACCCTCCGACTCAAGAGATCTGCTTGACGAATTGGTTCGGTAATACGATATTTGGTGACTTTGTTGAAAATGTCACATGCCGTTTTGAGCATAATCTTGTGTCCGGCACTAATATAGACAGCATTCTTGACGAAAACAGTAATATTCTATGCCAAATAGAGAACAACACCACTGCCACCAATCATTTCAACATATTGATTTTCTTCAGATGCTTGTTTCTCAAGTAACCCCTCGACTCTTTCAAAAGTAATACCATCAGCATTGAGAACATTTTTTGTTACACTAAAACACGGAATTCCACTGAGCACACTGAAATGTGGGATGCCAAACACCATTACCATCGATAAGAATTACTTGTGGTGTCAATTCTGGACAATTTTCTTGAAGAATATCGATTAATTTCATCAAAACAGGCGCTTCAAGAAATGCCAGATAGGATGGAATGTATGGAATTTTCATATGACAATTAATACTAATTTTAGCTACTATACTCAATGTTTCATAATCGAAAATGACCATGGCAGCCACAGCTTTATCGTTTGTCCTAACAAAACTTATATCGAGTCCGGCAACATATTTGATCGTTTGATCGATTTGATCAATATCGGTTGCGATTAATGAAACAATATTTTTTTGTTCACTAAACATATTTCACAAAAACAAATAAAGAAAAAATTTCAATGATGATGTAATATGGATAAATTTGACCTACAGTCCCCAAAAGGGTAATAGACTTTGGGCATCCATATTGTAGCCAAATTCAACGAAATCTTTTATTTCGATATTGAGATATGTTTGACTCACAGGATTATTATCAATGTCTTTTTTTTTCGGTACAACTCTTTTAATTCTCTTTTCAAATCATTCAAATCGAGTTTACTCTGTGTTAGATCGATGATACGTGGAGCTTTCAAACGAGATCCATTGAAATCAATTTCACTTGTTGTCTCATCATATTTCATTCCACTGGTCAATAATTCCGCAAGAACTTTATACTCATAAGAACGTCATTTCATATTATTACCAATAATGGACATATTTGTTGTTGTTTTACGAAATTTCAAATATTCTTCGATTGTTAGAACGACCAAAGAAAAAATATGTTCGCTATAAATGTTGGCTTTTTTGTCCGCTGTTTGTCTAATTTTGATCATACAATGCATGATCATCTTAGTTGTAATTGTTTCAACATTTGTGAAATGTTCCTCGAGAACACTAGCAGCATTACTGTGTAGTATAGTATGTGCACTAGATAAATTCGGAGTTGAATTTCCATACTATTCTGTCAATTTATGATCAAGTTTTGTTTTCAATTGATTGGTCAATGTTGTCAAATTGATATGTTGATTATTCACATCTGTATCCTAGAGAGGATCGGTAAAGAAAAATAATTTACTTGGATAAGAAAAACGACCGAGATTAATTGCATAACTCGGTAAAAGTATTTTTGATGGGAAATGATAATTATCAAAAACATGTTGATCAACCATTTTAATTAAATCAGCCTATTGAATTTGCATATTTTCACGAGCTTCTCGATATTTTAAAGCAAAATCTGTGTACAACTTCATTGGTCGATCATGAATAGGTATTGTTGTAAGAAGGTGAAGTACGAATGAGACAATCTCACCTGGTAATATGTTCGACTGATCAACACCAATTTCCATCGAGAGTTTAATTACAGTCGAAATAAAACTTTCATAGAATGTACTTAAAAATTCTTTTAATTGTTCATAATCAATGCTCACGGATGGGAAAGAATTTTGTTGTGGAATATCACAAAATGTATCGAATATAATATCGTACAACTATTGTCGTATCATAATTAAATGTTCTGGACCAAATTTTGTTTTCGAACATTGAGCATCGATGCACATCAATATAAAACGTTTTCTGACGAGACTAATCATTATATTTTGGTCTAGTTGATGAAATAAATGATTCAAATGTAAAATTCGACAAACAGCAGTAAATGGTTGTTGCATTAATTTATCTTCTTGTTGAATAATTAATTTTAATGCATTAATCATTGGCATTCGAGTACCTTCATCAGAAAATAAATCTGTTGTATAAATATTATTAACCAATTCTCGAATGAAATAGGTCTTTGTTTGTTCATCAAGTCAATTTATTTTCATATCATCAACTAAAGCCAAAAGTAACATCCATACATGATGAAGAATTTTATTTCCGATTAATGTACGATAAAGAATATAATTGGCATATTTTCGATTTGTTATCGTTGACCAATTGAGAGGAATAAAACTTGAACATGGTTCACGATAAACTGTTATCAATTCATTATTGGTTGTCAGTGCGTTATTAATATATGCTTTTGCACGATAACCACAAACTGGATTAGCAGCAATACAATAAGATAATTTCTTATTTTGTTGTAATGGAAAATTGATAATAAAATAATTGGTCGTATCTTCAATATTCATCGATGATCTTAACCAAAGACCTTCTGGTCCTTGTTTCGGGTCGCAATCACTTTATAGAAAATAGCTTTGCCGACAAATTGTTTTGCCGACATGTACACTTTGTCGACAATTTATTTCGCTGACAAAAAATTGAAGTCAAAAATAAATGTAAAGGTTATTGTAGATACAGTGATATATATATGTCAGCGTTCATACTTGAATGCGTCCAATCTCGGATTGATCTAGGCCAATGTCACATTGGACGTACTATTTTCAAGCGAATCTTCGATTGCCTAGGCTAGTCCGAGATTGGACGTATATGCGAGCATGAACGTGATATATATATACATAAAGAGATAAAAGAATCCAGAATTCAAAATGTTATTGCTGACCGTGGTAATAGATCAACTATGGATTTTCTTCGGGGCATTGCCCATAATCTTTCACGTTGAGTATTTGTAATTTTGATTAAAAGAATTTAAAAAGCTCAAGAAAATAAAGAATTTTCTAAAAAAATGAATCAGTTTTTATTAATATTAACAAATTTTGTCTGTAAAACAAGTTGTCGACAAAGTGTACATGTCGGCAAAACAATTTGTCGACAAAGTTATTTTCGGCAAAGAGATACGGACCCCTTGTTTCATACAAATTGCACATTCAATCATTGCCACATCCGTATGATCTAAAACAGTTAATGATTCATCAAAATCATCATCATTTACTGTAACAGTTTTGACTCGATTTGCTCGTTTCGAAGCAAAAGTAAAATCATTGATAAAATAAGAACCAATTTCTTGTTCATGAATCATATTTTGAATAATAATATTCCAATATTGACGTGTTTTATGAAGATTTGAATTGACATATTTAATATATTCCAATTGTTCAATTTTAGCTTGATCCGATATGGCATTTAATGGTATTCGAAGAGTGTCAAGTTCAATTGGATCGTTTGCTTCTGATGTTTTCAAATCGACAATTTTTGCTACAATTGCATCACATTGTTGATTGTATCGAAAATCAAATTTCTCTTTGATTCTTGTTGTTTCATGTTGAACAACTTCATTTTTCATTTGTGTAACAAATGTTCGTATTTCGAATAATTTATTACAAATTTTCGCGTATTGAATTAATGTTTTCTATTCTTCATGATCGATATTTGTTATCAAATTACTATATTTTGTATTAATAAATTTCTCGAAATCTAATGCAACGATTTCTTGTTCAGTTTCACGAATATTAATGTAATCATTAGGAATTTTAATATGTTCATAGATGATTACATTTTGAAAGAGTTCATCCTTCTTGAGTGTAGGCAATTGTTGATAATCTGTTAAAGTATTCGGTGATGAATAAATTCTACTAATAGAACGTTTTGATGACAAAATATAAAATGTTTCATCATCGTCAAATAGACATAAAACATTCGGTGCTACCATCAATGGAGCAACAACCGAAATATTAATATTTGATGGATTGTTGGGCTTACTGTGTACAATAATGCAAATGGTTAAAGCTTTATTCAAATTACCTGTCGTATGGGATGCAAACTAGAATAGAGAAGAAAAAATAATTGCAGAAAATACGTTGAGCCAGTCCTCTATTAGCTAAATTCATACGATCGATTGTTAGCATTCAAATTTTGCGAGAAGTCAGAGAAAACAAACGATCGTTGCTTTTCTACAAATACTATGAAGACTAGACTCGGTCGTGTCAAACACCAGCGCTTCTTCAAAAATGAATATTTCAAAATTTTTCTGTTTGTGGTTGATCGGAAAAACGATACCCACCCACACTCACACCCACTAAAAGTTGACTTGAGGTTATTAGCTGATAAACTCAATTTGAAAACACATACTCAGGTTTAACAAGATAAGACTTTCAAAAAGAAAAACAAATAGAAGACTCAAAAATATTAGTACAACTGTAAGCTTGAGTAGACCAAGGATGTAGGAGGCAAAAGCATCATAGATCAATTATACGTTTAAAAACACCGGTATTGAGAAAGTGCATTCAAGTAAATGCCTGAATCGTTAAAGAATCTTTTTGTTTTCAATCATCAAAGATTGAATTTTAGTTCTACCCATAAGTCAAAGAGCATGGTAAACTATGAAAGAGCAAAAATTAGAATATTTCAGAAATGGAAAAGGCATGGGTATTCTTCTAAAGTCTATACAAGTGATCTGTTTACTTTTGTCACACTGTCTTGATCGATTTCTCCACCGGTCACAAAAATCAGTACATCGGATTTTTGAAATGCTGTTTTTGTTAATGGGTTTTGAAAAATAATGTGTGGATACGTTCCACCTAAAGATTTGGCAATTTGAATATTTTCCCATATTTCAGCTGTTGAATCCCAAAGAACAATAAAATCGAAACGAATATTTTGACAAATATTCAATTCAGCTTGTAAAATTGTTTTATGACTTGATGGCAAGTGACTACTGGTCGAGCCAAAATTGTCAATGAAAATGCCACTCGTAAAATCTGCAGATAACATAATAGAACAAAAATAAATTGTTTGTATTCTAATCGAATCCAATTCGTTTTATCTACAACTTTTTTCAAGTTCAAATTCGTCTTCGGAATGGCAATCGAATACGTCAACGTCATCTTGTTTTTCTTCCTGTAAGCTGAAAGAAACAAGGGTGCAACTTATATGTATAGATGACTTTGCGCAATCAATACGAGTATTTAGGTAAGAAAAAGCCATGAATAATGGCATATGCAAATCAGAGTGAATCAACATGTTGAAATCCTCTTGTGTTTTTATATTTCATATGACGCTATATTACGATTTCTTCCGCGAGATTTACTTTACGAACTAATAAAACATTTCAATGTACATCGCAAATGAAAAAAGTGATGCTCTACAGAAACTGTTTCGACTACTGTCTAACTTTCTGGATGACGACAAAACAGAAGCATATGATAAACTACGAACTCGTATGCATGAACGAATCGATATAGCTCATCAATATCTTCGAAGGAAAGGAATGCAATAATTGATCTAACTGGGATTCCAAAAATTAAGAAAACGCTTCGGAAAAAATAACTACGATAAAATTCTTAAGATTAGACCAAAAAAAAATCACGAAAGACTAATAGGAATATAGTGAGATAGAGCTCAGTCGGATATTGTCTTGTGAAAATAACAAAGTAGACAGGACTGTTCTTGGAATATATTTAAAAACAGACTAAGATTGACGTATTGTGATTCTTTTGTCTAAGTTATAGTCATCTGTATATTACAGATGGGATCGTTCCTCTAGAAGATGATCCCGTGCAAAAAAAAAATGTGCAAAAATCTGCCTTTAAACGCGTTCTTTTTCACTAGTCAAGTAAATACGTCGTTGGATAAAGCATTCTTTTCGATATGTTTTGTTATTATAAAACGAAGTTTTATCTCTGCAAAAGCCTTTTTCTATCCGTGTATCCATATTACTTATTTTATCACATTTACATAATTTAATTGCACATTTCTCAGTAACTTCTTTGTTAGCAATTATAAAGATTTTAAGAGTAGTATATCCTAGTTAATACAGCAAAAGTCGAAGTATAGTTGGCATAATCAAGGGTTCTTTCTATTTGACACCTAAAACTTTTGTTAGACTGGACTTAACCATTTGACTATACCAATTATACTTCAACTTTTGCTGTATTAACTACGCTATACTGTTCTTAACATCTTTATAATTGCTGACGAAGAAGTTACTGAGAAATGTGCAATCAATTGATGTAAATGTGATAAAATAAGTAATATGGATACACGGATAGAAAAAGGCTTTTGAAGAGAGAAAAATGAAAACCTCACCTTTTCTAATTAGATATTTTGAAGATAATTCTGAAGGAGACACTCAGGTGTATTATCTTATCACCCAGCTTCAATTGCTTAGATGTCTACTAGGACAATACCCATGAACTTTGAAACTTAAAAAAAAAGCTGCGTGACTTTTATGTCAAAAACATGAAAAACATGACATTTCAGATGATGAAACGGGCATAAAAAGTGATGTATTTCAATTTCATTAACGAAATAGAAGTGGGTGTGGCTGTATCTTCTCCACATACACGGCCTACCCACACCTACACCCTCTAGTTAACTAAATAGTCAATGATTCATATTCAATTCGAATCTAAAATCAAAATTTGTCAAATTTTCTCGCAATGATCCGATTATGCTATTGAAAGTGTGAAATAAGATTTCCGATTGTTCGCAACTAAAGCATAAAAAATAATGGATCAGAAATGTAGAATTTACATCAAACAGATTCGGGTAGAATCTTCAAAAATGATAAAATCTTTAAAATTTGTCCTTATGAATTTTTCTAGTTTATATATTCTAATTTGATTGTTGATTGTAAATAATATTTTGCAAATATTGGTGATAAAAAGATCCTTTACTTAAGAACTCAATTAGAAATATTATAATTACTTTGTTCACTTTGACTTCATCTGCGATGTTTATAGCCCCAGTATCTCCGATTTGATTGTGATTAAGTTTCAGATGCATGAGTGTCTATGTTACAAAATTAAAGTGAATTGTGACAAGCAAGAATTTGAAATATATTAGAAAACGAAAGAAATCAATGTATGTAATCTGTATGTAATAAGTTCTCTGATTAAAGGTAATCTTAAAAGAAGTAATCTTTATGTAAAATAAACATTCAAAACGGAATTGTTTAGCTTTTTGTTTTTCGTCTGTTGCGTAGACGAATTAGTTATTAGCATTACTTAGAATTTATAGATAATTGATAAGATTTCACCAAACAATTTTAAAAATTCTCGATTAAAGTTAAACTAAATCTTAAATGAAATGAAAAATGATGGTTTATTTATTTTTTTATCATTTGAAATAAATCGAATAATTCTAAATATCCAATACAGAATTAAACATGCGAATTTTTTTCTTTACGAAATATACTAGCTGTATGTACACGACAGATATTCTAAATAATTTATTTGAACCTTTCTTATTAGTTTAATATAAGACAATGACGATTAACATTAACAAAGAAACATATCAAATTACAAAAAACTATTTTAGTTAAAAAATATTTGACATAAATATTTAGAAAAAGAATTTCCTATAAAACATTTGTAATAAATTGTTGATATGAAAACGAAATTGAAAATACAATAGAGTTTTGCATTATGATTCCATTGAAAAAAAAAGCAAATTTAGTTATTTATTTTTCAAAAAGGAAAATTTCGAAAGATTTAGACAATATTCTATTGGTGTATACGATGCTTAAATTATCAAAGATCCATGTATACTTATATTATTACTTCGAATGTACCTAAAAATTGTTGACATCTAAACATCTGTGTTTTTATTTTATCTGATTTTTAAGATTCATAAGTCATGATGGAAAAATAGCTTAATTCAATTTATTAATGGTTTGGATTTGTATAAAAAAAAACAAGAGTGATAAATCTTAAAGAATTTTCAGACGATCAACATTGTATATTAACCCATTGAACCCGATTTGATTCTACGGGGTAGCAAATAATATTTTTCCAGGGGGTACAGCTTCAAATACAAATGATATCAACATTGAAATTTATTCCAAACAAAACCTCGTCGAAAACAGGATTTAGCAGTATAACTATCAATTCATAGAATGACTATGTGCTAAAGAATTACCAAAAGTTCCCAAATTTTCAGACATAATTGAGTATTTTCATGGGTAGTCAACCACGAAAAACAAATAGATCTCAGGAAATGTTTCGTCTATCGGACTTTGTAGAGCTCTCTTTGTCGATCATTTTAATAAAGAAGGTTTTTTAAATTTGATAAATAAATGACGGTGCTAGAGTCAAAATACTAAAAAAAAATCGTAGCTCTAGCAGACAGAGCTGTCTCATTGTTTCAGTATTTCTGCCCTAGCACCGTCATTTATTTATCAAATTTAAGAAATCTTTTTATCAAAATGATCGGCAAAGAGAGCTCTACAAAGTCTGACAGACGAAAAAATTTTCTGAGAACCTTTTGTTTTCATAGCCGACTAACCACTGTACAAATATAGTGAGACCCACCGGTGGGTCTCATCCGGTTGAATGGGTTAATAGTGAAGAATACGTTTTCAATCGAAGTTATACCTAATTCCAACGATGTGTTATACTCACAGGGACTTTTAACAGTAAATCAAAAGTCATTTATCCTTCATTGAAAGCGATATTAAATGCGTTTTACATTTTCAACTAATTGAACATTATATTCAATATCCTCTTCGACATATTTGTCAATGTACTGAAAGGGTATATAATGGCCAACATGAGCAAAGGACTATGAATAAAACTCGATTTAATCACTATGATATTAATAGTTTCAATTTGGGACGACCATTTATCAGTAGAAATCAATGTTGCGTAAGACTCTTTGTTATTTATATCTGATTTTTTTTCGTTACCTGTATCATCGATGAATGAGAACATGACTAAGATTTGTTGTTGTTTGAAATACTCTTCAATTATACTAGTTGCTGATAGATCGAATCGTCAATTCTTCTAATTCATCACTGAGCCATACTCAATTAAGAAAATATGACAAATTGCTTGAAATAGTACGTTTCACCTGTTCAAGTGAAAGATCGCATTGTTGCTATTCTAAATCTTTTTGTTACGTTTGAACTTACTGAAGATTATTATTCCATAAATTTGCAGAGTTCAGGCTTTTTTACCATTCTTTTTCTAGTTTTTCATTCGATACAACACCTTGTTATTTTAATGTATATGCACTAGTATTTTCGAGTGCCTACAATTTTGTCGACTACAAAAATGATGTTTCTCGTATTTTCACTAGAATCAAAGTTTAGATTGGATGTTTTAAATGCAGATTATTTAAATGAGGTATTAAGTTGTTGAACGTAGCGAAAATGAATAAAGTGTTGATGGATATCGACTGTAATACTAGGATTTTGACGAATGTACGTGGTAATTTATTACAAATTGCATGTAGCTACACCGTTATTATTTCCATGTGTCATTTGTTGATTATCATTTGCCATATATTTGATAAATGAGTTATTTGGCTGCGAGTTTGACAACGACATTTTCTGATGAGAACAATAATTACCGTTGGTGTTTCCCCGTTATTCAGCCAAGGAGAGAAGGATAACATCAAGGTAAGAATATAAGCAACTGCTTATTCACCTGCTCTCGACAGACGAGAGGATGAAAAAGACGTATATCTATCGTTGTCAAACGTACAGAATATAGAAAAAAATCAAATAAATATTTTGTCATGTGATTCAGTCGAATACTTTATGGATTGAAGCAAATGGAAAAATATGAGTCAGATTCATTATACGCATTTTCATGATTACGATGATTTTATTTTGTTTTATGTAATGATATAAGCGACATTCACTGAAATTTATCTCATTCAAGTTGATCGATCACTCAATCGACTGTCTTTAAATGATATATTAATAAATCGAATGTGTTAGAATAAATCGATAATATATATTTTTACTATTATTCGACTTCTTACAGTGATCTTTTATGATAGTCAAAGTCTGCAGTTTTTGAAATTTGTCAAACATGATTAAATACAACTAGTCGAGTTTTATAAATGCATGTCATTTAAAAGAAGTTTTGGTTATTATGATATTGCCATAATGGTTGCTGATATAACTTGTGTAAATTATTATTTGATTAGAAAAAAAATTCGGCTGAATTCAAATATGAATCAGGTCTGTAAGTTACCATAATAAAATTTTCATGAAAGAGCAAAAACGCTACCTATTAGAAGAAAATTTCATAAGAGCATGATCTCTATTGTTTTCAAAATACTTAAAATCTTTTCAAGTGTACAATGTTATTTATCGTATTATATCCTTCAGATGAGTAAATCATGAACTATTTTGTTTTGTGTTATGTTATGTGTTCTATGATATTTTGAGATTAGGACAGGTATGAGTACGGAGACAGAAATGGAGTTGTGAGTGTGATTGGAAGACTTCTGCTAAACAATTTCCAAGTCAGAACTACTCACACATACACACAAACCACTCGTAGACATCAGCCATGACCATCGTCATACCCACGTCCTAATCTAATAGTCTACTTCAATTCAACTAAGCGGAAATAATTTGGGACTCAAAAGGATTAAATTGATGAAAGTATCCATTTTAATGTGATATTTTGGGTTTTTTCAAGCTTTTGAGTACACAAGCTCTATTGTATTAAATCTAAAAGTACTTATAAAATCCTTTTTGTGGTAAATCTGTCCAAAACAAAGGTCTCTAATGAATTGATCTAGAATTGCTCTAGTTTAAAAGGGAGACCAGAATTTCGGCCCACGGAATTTTCGACTCGTGACCTCATTGACTCCCAAAATAAAAAACTAATTTTTTTTTAATTAGTTGCTGGACACTGTAGTGCCGAGCAGGACGCCATAGTGCTCATCGATATGACTTAGTGCTGAGCAAGACATCATAATGAGTCTGTAAGTGGGGTGCTGGTGTGGCGTGTGGGGGTGTCTGAGTCTTCTTTTAATTGATATCCACACACCTTATGACTTCCTGCTCAGCACTACGCCATATCGCTGAGTACTATGGCGTCCTGCTCGACACTATGATGTTCAGCAACTAATATAAAAAAATTAAGTTTTTTATTTTGGGGGTCAATGAGGTCACGGGCCGAAAGTTCTAGAGTAATTTCGGACCGATTCCAAAGTTCGGGCAGAAAATTCCGTGGGCTGAAATTCATGTAACCCGTTTAAAAAAAGTACTTTTTTTTCTTTTCTGTCTGACTTATCATAAGACTTTCTTATCAACTTCTAAACATTTATTATTCTTATCATTTATTATCACTCTTAAAAATCTACATAAATATTATTATTTTCATTTTTTTTACAGTTTCTAACACGTAAATAAAAAATGTCGACTAATAGTTTTTCAAGTTTTTGCTTATTTCTATTTGTTTTTCTTCTTTCTGCTCAATTAACATCAACACTTAATTGTTTTGAATGCAATAATTGTGATAATATACCATCATGCACATGTAATACTCTAATTCCTGTTGATGCCAAAACTTCATATTGTATTCTTCTACGAGAAAGTATATCAGATACAGTCAATATTGAAATCAAACATATTTCAAGAAATGCTACAACATATTATATTTATGATCCATATTATATATCAGTACAAGAAACGATTTCCTTCGATAAAGTACTTCAACGTTGGTACAGTAAATCAAATAAAATCACTTATGCATGCCAAACAGATGGCTGTAATCGAGCTGATTTAATAAAACAATTACCTTCAAGTGGTTTATCATTAATGTTACCTAATGATTGGCTTGATGAAAATCTTCAACGTAAACCAGACAAAATGACGACATTGTGTCGGAACTGCGATGGTGAAACAATATGTAATAATACAGCAAATTTAATAAATATAAATAAATGTAATACACAAGAATGTCAAGGCTCATGTCTAATGGGTGAAGTATATGAACAAGCTGAAACGACTCAATTTTGCTATGATTCATTTTGTTCAGACAATACGACGATTGGTCCAGTAATGCAGTTACCACAGATAGAAATTACTGCTGTCTATTATATAAATAAAAAACAATTAGAAGTCGTTGAAATTGATGTTATATGTAATAAAGATGATTGTAGTCGAATAGAAATATTCAGAGATATTAAAGATAAATTGCAAAAAGATCTTAATGGTATTAAACCATTTTTACCATCGGAATCAACGGACACAACTGAACCAACAAAATCACCGAATCATGGTAATGCCATTTATTCAACATCAATTATATTTCTAATGATAATATTGTTACAAACACTGATTTTTTATTGAAACAAAAAACATTTAAAAAAATATTCATTTTATTTTTTATTATTATGTCAATGCGCGCCTTGTTTAAAAAGAAAAATAAATAAACTTCCATGATGCGTATTCATTTTTTTTTGGATTTATTCTCGACGACATAATAATCATACAAGGTAAAAAATTATTGAATTGACACAAAAAAATACTTTGTCTTTTAGAAACCGATCAATTACTAATCATACTTTAAAATTATTGAAACATTAAAAATGATTATGTTGCTCAAATCGAAAAATAGGAAGTTTTCGTTAGTTAAAAATCAATGATACAGTTTACAAATACCGAACAAAAAAAAACAAATATTGAGCGTCTTGTGTACACATGGCTAATATGTATATTGCTGTTCGTCAATAAACATCATTCAATTAGAATTTCTTTTTTCTTATTGTCATTAGTAAATTTTTCGCTTGTAAAAAGAATAAAAAATTGAAAGGAAATATTTAGTAATATATTTATCTGAGATTACAGACCGATACAGTATATAAGAATAGAAATCTTTTATAAAGGGCGAAGATACTTCTAAAACAAATATTTAAAAATTTTTAAATTTCGGTTCAAAAATTTTACGCATATTAACATTTTGATAATAAAACTATTTTTAACGCTTGCCTAATTGGAGTTAAGTTCTGGAAAAAAATGAATATGAACATTTTATTTCTGCTCTTTTATTGTATTCTTTCAAATTTGCTCTCTCAAATAAAAAAAAGTACATGTGATGTTTTCCCAAAGATTTGCATCGCATTTTCATTTTTATATTTTACTGAACTTTGAAGGGGAGAATGTAATGATATAGAATGCGAGTATGTCAAGTGAGAGCTAAACTGAGGGAGGGGAAGTGAATGATGAATTGAATATAACCGCCCAATCAATTCATTGCGCTAACCAAGTCATAAAATAAAAAATGAAGAGTGTAATATTCACCTATGTAAATATTGATTGGCATGCAACATTTGATATGAAACTGCTTTCTTTCATTTCAAACTCCAAGATATTATGTATACAAACTGAAAATATTTTCAATTTTCTATGGTTTCATACATCGAACTTTGATGGATAATATTTTGCTTCTTTCATTTTAGTCAACAGTTCTTGAATGAAATACGAGATCAGCACATTAATTGAGATTATAGTAAATTTTGTTCTTTCTGCTATTAGTAACTTAACTAGTAACGACGACACTAAGAAAACATTTGGAAGCCGTTTTCCATTGAATAGTAGCAATCTCATTTCGATGTTTCCGAATTTTGATAGAAATTCTCAAATTTCCATCACTGTTGGCTTTGCTAGCATTCTACAAATTGCCATATTTTGTAATTGATCGAATTCAAGAATTATCGAAACCTTAAAGACATTAACCGTTAGGCATTATAGATGTTCGAAAATGATCAGAGTCTTGAAATTGATTGAATTCTTAATGTGGAGAAATCCTAAAGAAAAAACAATTGTGAAGCGAATGTGAGTTTTTTAATATCAATGTCTTTAAGTCTACATCGCGAAAATAAGGATAAATCATCAAAATTGATGCTAATTTCTGCTTGAATAGATCATTCGTAACTGATCATCACATTCTTTGATAGACTTTGTTGAGATAAAACATCTGTTATACTAAACTACAGAGCATGATATCAGTAGAAGAAGCTGCCTAAACATATTAGATATCATATCTCATCTGCAACGTCGTTTTCCTAGAGCTAGTGCTCTTCCAAAGATCAATCGAATTTTTTATCTTCTACTCAGCGGCTCTTCAATACATTGATTGATATCAACCAATATTTCTCGAGCGGTGATATGTATAGCATCATCAAAACAATCGATAGACATCAGCAAACCATTATACAATAGCATGATCATTATCATTCATGTAAAAATTTGACGTCAAATACCAGTAGTGATTACAGTGAAGTTTTTGCCTCGCGTCATAATGGAAAACAAATAAAATTCATAGAATTCAGCTGAGATGTCGAGCATTATTGTGTGTACTTCATGTTGTTTTGTTGAAATGAAATGTGTACTCATTGCTTAATGCTCATTGAATAAAACAACAAGTATGTAGATCATGAAGTCTTTAGTATATATTTCATTAGTATCAAATCAATTAGTTTTTCATACTGCTACGAATCTTTCAGCAGCGGTAACTTGGATCTGAGTTTCTTTTTTAAAAGTTATTCTCGATCGTTAGTGATTCTTAAACGAACTGATATATTCTTTCAAGACAGTTTGTCAACAAAATTCTTTGAATATTGCTCAACTGATTCAAACCATTGTCTTGTCCACGTCGCAGATGTGAGTGAGTGAAGGTGATATTGATCGGCTCACAAAAATTCAGGTGTTCCTCATTCTCATTCCTAACCAAAGTACAGCTTCTAGTCATTCTAACTAACTCTCAAGATTAGGAAGGTCGACCGCGAGAGCAAGTCTCATATGTAAAAGCGAGAAAAAAATAGAAAGATAATGATATTTAATCAATAGATTGTGCAGGAATTCGCGTGAACTTGTATCACCAGTCCATCGGCTCATTCTTTTTTGTCTTTTCTATCCAGCTGAAAACGAAATAATCAGTCATCGAATGACTTATTGTGCAATTCCACTGATAGAATTCATAAAGCAGAAAAGCATCCAAAATTCCCTTCAATGGATAATCGTGTGACTAGACCTGGGACAGTTTCCAGCTCCATGAACTGCATGTTTTCCAAGAACTGAGTAAAGTGACCAGTTCCCTTTTCGAGAACTGTGTACACCCGGCAGTTCTTTTCAAAAAACTTGGCATAGTTTCCAGTTCTTTTTTCGAGAACTGGATAGAGTGACCAGTTCTTTTCCAAAAATTGGATAAAGTGACTAGTTCTTTTCCAAAAACTGGGTAAAGTGACCAGTTCTTTTCCAAGAATTGGGTATGATGACCAGTTCTTTTCAGAGAACTGCGTAAAGTAATCAGTTCTTTTTTGGGAACTATGTCTTGAAAGACTTCTATTTTTAGAACTCATCCTAGGGACTAGTTCGTCTTTTGAGAATCGGATACTTCTATTATTGCATTAAGTTTCCTTTAGCTTCATTCCAGCATATTTGTGCAGTTGACAAGCATGGTTCACAATGGGTCAATTACAAATCTAATGGGAAATCTGAAATAAGATGTTGGATAGCATCAACTCATTCAAAATAACTTCTATATAGATCAGTGCCTGTCAAAAAACTGTTGAGAGAGATCAGTTAATATTAGATGTGTGGCAGTTCCAGTTCCATAGCTCGCGAGAGCTGCATCAGAAAGTTGGCGAAGAGTTCCTGGAAGCTATAGCTGCTCAAAACTTTATCACGGGCTACCTATAGGGGTACCCTTAGTTGTTCGGCAGTTTTTTGTATCAATCAATCAGATTCAACGATGTTGTTTCTCCGCTATTGTAAGGACAAAGCATATTGTTATTCGGGTCATAAAAAAGAGGATCACGAATAATCCACTGATCCGCTCAAACAACATTATCCTTTGTCCTCACGATAGCGCAAAAAGGCCTTCCTGAAATGTGATTGGTTAATTGAGGACCAATCAGATTCCAGCAGGGCTTTTTTTCAACTGTAGATGCAAAAAATAGCGTTGTTCGGAGCGATCAGGGGTTTATCTGTGGTCCTCTTTCTTATGAATCGAATAACAGTATGCTTTGTCCTTACAATAGCGGAGAAACAGCTCTCTTCTATCCGATTGGCCGATAGAAAAAGCTCTCGAAAAACTAAGGATACCCGTCCCCCGCCCATGGGATACCCCTTAAGGACTTATGAATACACACATAGAATAGTTCTTGAGAACCTAAAGGTCTCCCATAGTATAGCCCTTGTGAACCTATGAATTCCCCTAGGATAGATGTTATGACAAGAACTGGTAGGAACAGATCAGTTCCTATCAAGAAACGGGTCGGACAGATCAATTCCTAGCAAAGAACTGGTACAGACAGTTCTCAAGATTGGAACCTAGATGGAACTGTCTTAGACCTACGTGTGATGTTGAATCAGTTACAGAACTCTAAATAGTGGTCGTAAACAAGAGTCCCATCAATGAATACGATGATGAAAAGAAACTTTTTTCCACCGAGTTCTTACTCTTCTATTTTTTCAATACTATACATAAGTCGGTTAGTTTTCCTAGAGCTTTTTTAATATCGGAAACGAATGAGGCGCTCAACAGTGTTGTGCATTTTATTTCGGTAGTAAACCTTTCGATAAATGTCACGGTTGTTGCCAAATTTCTCGAATCGATACTAACTTTAGGTTTATTTTGGTCATCGTGAGACACCACAACTGCAGAATACTAAAAACCCCACATCAAATGAAACAGTATTCGCGAAAGTCATGATAATTCCTTCCTGTAATAGGTTATTTTTTCGGAAATGATACGAATCTAAATCAAAACGATAATGATGTATGAATAACAATTGTTGATGCCAATATCAATAGCAATATCTATGGAAGCTTAGCATATCTCCTTTAGTTTATTAGTGCCTTTCTTATAAATAATTTTTAATGCTTAAACTTAGATACATTTTGGATGTGTGACGTTAAAAAATCTTGGAAAACTTCCCCTATAATTCTACCGAATACTTCAAGAGCGCTAGCCACTTCAATGTAGAACTTTATCGAAGATTCTTATGAAAATCATAGAAAACTGTTTTCATAAAGGTTCTTTTATTTTTGTTATTTATAATAATCCACATCGATATTTTATTACATCGATTAAATCTGGAAATTCAGTACATAAGAAATGGTTTCGGTTATTGAATTCATGATATGTACTTTGTACTTGTTTGGCTATATGACGGCTACTATCAACTGGAGTGAATGGATCATCAGAACTATGAAACTGCTCAATCCATTGTGCATTTGTTTTTATTTTATTCCAATTCCATAGTTGATTGGCATCGTGATCGTAATAACCAGCTGATACTAATATTAATCCTTTGACTTTCATTTGTTCACATACTCGCAGAATAGCCATGGCACCAGAACTATGTCCGATTAAAATATCATTCTACAAGCAAAGATGCATTTATATACCATTCTTGATCATAAGTGATTGTATTTGACTCACTTCTGCTACACCTAAATTATTTAATAGGAATGGTATCCATATAGAGTCTTTCGCCTCGCTCTCATCCGGTAATGCTGGTGCAATAGCATCAAACCCTAATTTCACTAGTTCTGCTTGGAGCCATTTATACCAATGTCGATTAATAATTCCAGGTGTTATCGCACTACCATGCACGATTATTACCCGCTGCTTTGATTGCTGATCCTGTACAGTAATTGCAGTCGATTGAAATAATGCTCCAAGAAAGCTCAAATTCTTCGTCAATATGAATTCCAGTGCGTTCATCTCGACAAATAAAACTAGTAGTTGAGTTTTTTAGAAAGCTATTTTTTTTAATAATTACTCAATAAAGGTGTGGGTATGGGTATATGATGAGTCCACACGTATGTATGGTAATGACTTATTTGAAACACTGCATTAAATAAATAAGGATGCTGTTTGGTCTGCATGAGTGGAATTTATTACATCTTTATGAATAGTAAGAGCTCTTCCCCACCTCTCCATCCTGCGTTGATAAAGAAGCTTCTCTTGCTAGACCACCTATACCCTCGTTGTCGGGAAAAAGTGAGTCTGATTTTTTTTCTAAAATTTCGTTTGAAAAGAAAAACATTGTAGACTGCTATTCTAGTGCTTATTTCCGCCTGTACCAATGGCATAGTCACTTTCTCAGACGTGGACGATGAATATATTCTTTTTCATGAATGAATATGGTTGATTCTACGAGAAAGCAGTTTTCACCTCAAACTATCATTGATTTCTACTTTCAGAAATAAGCTAGAGTTTTTAATAAATCAAAAACATGATGCGGATCGGAACATTACGGACAGCTAGTCTTGCATATGTTTGAAGTGTAATCGCTCATTTTTTTTCTCTTATTCTCTGTTCATTTATACCGACACTCATAAGCACGATGCTTTTTTTAAGATTGAAGCTAATTCTAGACTGTTACTTCGCCATGAAAATGCGAAACAAATGAAGAATACATTGCATAGCTTCCCTTGTTACTCTTTATATAAGTAGGTATTATATGAAGAAATGCAGAAATGTCACCGAGCAGTGTAGCTGAATGCTTAGTCGTATGTCTCAAAAAGCACTCGAAAAAGTCAGTTTTGCTGAAAATCAGTCGAGCCCTACGTAGCAGTCGATTACGTAGATCTATTTCGGCATGCAGAAGTCCAATTATTTTAGGAGTTGAAGTGCTCGGTGCGGAAATCTATCTTTTCGGGATTGAACTATATTTTGAAAAAAAAATTAATCGATTCAATCTTTCGTACCAGTTTATCGATTGACTCAGATTTGCTGGAACCAGAAGTTCTAGCCATATGAGAGATGACGATGCTAAACCAAGATTAAATAATGTTCACTATGCTAGAAAAAGAAGAACATCAAGTAGAAAAAAGAGAGTTTAGGCATAGTATGACAGGCTAATTTAGAATACTTTGAGGAGAGTTGGAGTGAAAGAAGTCGAACAGCATTATTAAGATGCATTTATGCCTGAAGAAAACAAAATAGGAATTTCACCTTGCGCCAGCTAAAAGAACTTTTTTTTGTCTACGAAATATTGGCATTATACAAAACCAAAGTCAAATTGAATATCTTCAGAATTTTGTTTTCAAAATGTTTGTTTGTTAAGGAATTCACTTGATTGCTCAATTGTTGGACCAATGAAACTTAACATGGCTGCATGCATGCCCCCTATGTTCTGCTCTGGTCTTGATAATAGTGGCTGACAAAGTCGTACTAGATTGAGCTGATGTCGATATAAAATTTTATTCATTTCTGAAAGCAGCATCTGCAAGTTAGGAAAAGATTTCGACTCTTTCTACTAGTCAATTCAGCCTCTTACTGTTATGCGCTTAATTTTACTCACGTTGCATGTAATCACCAAATCTATATGGTGAAAAAATGATTATTATGCAAAGAAAAACGCATATTTTTTATGTTCTGTTTTGTACTTCGTCTTTTATCTCTTCTTTCTTTTGTTTTGCAGGATTTTCGTTTTTTTGTCATCATGAGATTTGTCCTTTTCGTTCTAATCGAAAGTATAGTCATACAAAGACAGTCAACCGCAACCAAAGAAACAACGAAAAAGGTAGGAAATTCCTGATATAATTTCTACACATGACTATTTACTAAGTTATCATCATTGCAGCATATTGAAAGAACAATCAAAAATAATACCTAACGTCACTTGTTAGAGAATGTTTAGACTATCTTTGATAACTATTCAGGCTTTACTTGTCTGAATTTTCTTTTCTCAGTTGGCTTTTCGTCTCGTTTTGGAAATGTATATGTATACAAATATTAGAAACGAACAATCTGTACCATATAATTTCGATATTCGTGAACTCACGTTTAACATTTCTACTTATCTTTATTGATATAATTTTTATTTCGGTTCCTGATTTCAATAAAGTTTTTTCGTATTCAAACAGCTCCGAAAAAAATTGACTAGTCAAGAAAATAATGTGTAGTATAGTTGATTAAAATAAAGACGAGAAATCCCGTCTGCAGTATGTATTGATAGTTTTTCTTACATTGACGAGACATCCTTCAATAGAATGTGTTTTTGTTTACTCAGATATACCATAGTCATGAAAAATGCATTGTTGCTGCAGTATCAATGACACAGTGTTTATAAACAAATTATCTTTCTCTATTCAACCGTGTTCTTTCTATCGCCGACCAATCATGTTTGTAACTGTCTTGAATAGAAAGACAAGGACTGAAAGGATCCATTTCTCCTTCACTCTCGCTCACAATACATCTCAACAACACTCTTCTTTATCCGTCAAGATTCAGATATTTATACCGATCACATTTTTTTTCATCTTAGATTATTTTGTTGATCGAGTTCAATGGAATTTTTTTCTTTTCGGATTATGCTTGATAAGCAACTACTTGTGTTTCCTTTATGTTTTGTTATTTTCATATATGAATATAAATATACGATTCAATATAAAAGATTCCTTTGAAAACAAGCTCATAGAGGTAAAACGTTACAACATCGTAACTTTAATCTTGTATAACCTTGTAAGATCAGATGAAAATCGTACAAAAAAATTGTAGTCTCAGAAATCTTATGTTTAGTCGTACTATAAGCTTTTTGAATCATTTTGCTGCCTTGGAAAATTGCTGAGATTATTATGACTTTTTTCGGTACAATATTGTCTAATTTCGCAAGACCTTATATCTGATATTTTAACTTAGACTGGCATATAAAAGCTTTAAAGATCATGTGCGATTTTCATACAATCTCATATGATTATGAAAGATTTCAAACTAAGGTTTCATGTGATATTATAAGAATTGTAGAAGATCTTACAGACGTTTTGCTTCATTGGACTTCGCCTTACTATTGAAGATATTAACTTATCTACCAAGTTCAGTTCTTTAATTTCTTTAAAAGAAATCATTATTTGAAGTGCAAGAGCAAATGAATATGCATCAGAGATATGTACCAACGACTGCCACACCCAGTAGCTTCCTCGAGAACCATCTATACTTTAATAGTAAATCCAAATAATTTTTTGGCCGCCATATCTTTATCATATTAGATTTAAAGTCTACTGCGTAACTTTCTAGAAAACAACGTACAACAAATACTGAAAACTTAAGAGAACGAATTTAATCTATTTGCCTTAAACTTGAATGAGTACAAATTTAACTGCAAAATAGGTTAAGATTGAACCGAGCACCCTATAATTATTTGTATATGTGTGTGTCTGATTATATCTTGCCTAACTCAATATTCTTTCGTGATGTTTTCAACTTTAAGTAGTTGTTCATGCACGAATATTCAAAAAAAAAATGAAACACTTTTTTAAAGAAATACTATAGCATAGCAAATATAAAGAAAAAAATAACTCAGTTCCCGTTAGGCATGAGCACATCTTGTTCAGTAAAGAGAGCATGAATGACTGTGCCACTTGCAAAAAAAGCTTTCTGAAGTTGACCACTTCTCTCTCGTTTTTGAGACACAGTGCACTTCTCTGATGTGCACTAATAATGAGATAATGAAAGATCAACACGAACAATAATTTCTAAATCGAATAAAATCGAAAATTTTCAGTTGTGATAGATTTGCCAATTCATTTTCACATCTTCTTCATCGTTCTTAAAAGTATTTTAAGATCACTATTCAAATTTTTTCCAATCAAGATTTCAAGGTTGAAATAATAAGAAAAAACTAAAAAACATCAAAATCAAAGAGTTTTCTTCAATGAAACATTATCTAAAATTTTGTCTTTCGTATTTTTAAAATGAGAAGAAAAAAAAAAAAAGAATTATTCGAGTTCATTCTGTATAACAGCCAATGTTCGATCAATAAGTCTTCGACCACCACAATTTTGACTGATACGAATATTTTCAAGTAATGGTTTATATTCATGTAATTGTTCTACAGTAAGAAAATTATCTAAATACAAAACAACATCTTTCAAATAATAAAAAAATTTAATATTTACTTTGTTTTTTAATCAAATGAATTAATTGAAGAATATTATTAATTATTTCCGGATGTTGAATTTCTTGTTTTAAAAACTCTTTTATATTTTCATGACTATTTGCTTCTTTTAATTTTTCACATATAAATGCTAAAAAATAAAAAAAAAAAAAAAAAAAAGATAAAAACAAATATATGTAACTAACCATTAGCTAACATAAAAATAATGTTAAGTGCAATAAGTGCTTCATTTTGAATAATTCCACGATTTGTTTGTACATCACATGAAGCTAATGTTGAAGTAATAAGTGGAAATACATCATTTCGTGCAAGTGCTTCAATAGCTTGAACCGTTTTTAATGCAATTGGTAATAAAAATAAAACACGACGAGACTCAACTAAAATTTTTATTTATATCATTTCGATTTTAGTAAAAAGGCAAAACTTACATTGTAAACCTGCATGTATAGTATTACTATTAAGAACAATTTGTTTTAAAATTTGATCATCTATAATTGCTAATTTTGATGTTTCCTTTGCATCACGAAGAAGAAAACGAATAACACCAGTTGCTTAAAAAGAAATCAAATTATTGAAATATGTTATCAATAAAGACTAATATGTTTATCAATGCTTCTGTGTCTATTTTTTTGCAATATGCAGTTATATAAATCATACGATTAAAAGATACAAATATCATATAAAGATGTGATGAGGCAACGAAGAAAAAACTTAACATCGAGATGGAAAACAAAATATTCTCTCTGATTGGACTTCTAGTATTTACCTTTATAAGCTATTTCACCAGCAAAATTTTTTATAAATATATACGGAATTACATTATCAAGAACATCACTATCTACTAATAGAAGTCGGTTTGTAGCTAAAAACGAAAAAACAAAATTAAAATAAAAAAAAGAAGATTAAGACTTTTATGTTTATTACTTGGAACAGCAAGATTTCTTAATGCACCTAAAATTCCATGTACAGCTTTTGCTTGTTCATCTGTCATTAATTCAAATTTATTTTCTAATTGTGTTGAAAAATATTTTAATTGTTCAACTAATTTTATATCTGGTTTACGTTTATCTGATAATATACTTATAGCTGATTGATCGTTTCGTGTTAAATTTGTTATTATTAATGCACCGGTCATTTTCAATTGTAAATTTGATTTTTCTAACCATGATATACCATATTCAAGTAAATCATATTTATTAGAAGTTAATAAATGATCAATTGATTTATCTAAAAAAAAAAAAATAACAAAGATAATTGTTAAGTAACTTTTTAAAATATAAAAACCTGTCGTTATAAGAACAACAAGCAAATAACATGTATCACGAAGAAATTCTTCATCTTGTCCAGCATATTGTTCGCATAAATTATTTAATTTATAATAAAATAATGATGAACATAATTCTTCTTTTACACCATCTGAATAGGAAAGAAAATCTTTTTCTTTTTTTCTTTGTTTTTCGGCTTAAATAAAAAACAAAACAAACCTTCTTCGCATGCTTCGAGTAAATAAGGTAAAATAACAGTACGATTATCATATATATTTGATTCAGTTATTTGGTTTCCAATTTCAGATAATAAATGACTTGAAACAAGTTGTTCACATTCTAAATTAGACGATACTGAATTTTAATACATTCAATGAGTTTTTAAAGGGAAATTCTATTGTTTAATTTTATCATTAGAATAATAAATTCGTTTCATATCGAATTTTGTTTAGGAAATTATGTAGATAGCTTCTTCTTAAGATTTTCTTAATTTTAACAAAAATGTGGTGTCAAAAATGAGTTCAACAATTGAAATACCTTTCCATTCATAGGATATATCTCAGTAGTCCAAATCATAAAATGTTATCAACTTATTTTCAGTTCGTATAGAAATAGTTGACTTTCACTGCCATTTTATCAAATGACGAGTAACACATAAAGTAAATCCTCGTAAGATATAAAAATACCCAAAAGAATGAATGCTCTTACACGTTTCCTCCATATTTATAGTCATTTTACTCGAATTTTCGTCTGTAGTATGGTGTCTATTAACAAATCTAATAAAGGATATTTCGATCTCAATTTTGACTCACAGATAGATCTACTTATGACTACAATGTCTCGAAAATTTCATTTCAAAAGAAAGTTTTTTTCGCGAGATATGGGTGATTCTTAGAAATTCAATATCTTATGAAAGAAGAATTCTTTTGAAATGAAATTTTCAGGACATTCTAGCCATAAGTAAACCTATCTATGAGCCAAAGCTCAGGTCTAAAATACATTTTATTTGATTTGTTGATAGATACCATGCACTAGCCGAGAAAATTCGTGTAAAATGGCTATAAATGTGAAGACAACGTCGAACAGCATTCATTCTTTTGAGCGTTTTCATATCTGACTAAGGTCTACTTTATGGTTCAAGTCCAAACTTCAAAATGATCAATCACTTAAAATGGTTCTCTAGTTAATTCGTGAACACTGACAAAAAGTTAGATTAAATCAGGTCACGACAAAAAGACTCTAGTGATGGTCACTGATCTTACAAGAGATAATATCATTAGTCTAATCGTGAGTTGGTCGTAGAAAGGTCGAAAAGTGCTATAGAATGTTTCGACAAGCAAAACACATTTTTTATTGTATGGCAAAATACTAACATTGTAACTAAGAACATACATAACTTAAGAAACTATAAATAGTGAACCATTCAAAAATTCCATTATGGGTATAGGTGTGAATTCTTCTTTTCACCCACACCGATACTACTGTTCACAAGTCCAGTCCAGAGGAATCATCAGAAACAAACTGCATGTCCTTAAAGTCACCATTTACTAATGTCCATTTCAGAGTTAAATGGCTGTGGGCATTTTTTGAATAACTTTTGATAGGAACGCGATAGAGATCTACGGTTTTCACCGTTGAAAAGAGCACATGAAAACACATCGAATCATATATAGAAAGATTTTGCTAACTACTTTCCTAAAGGTTTAGTCAAACGTTTTCAAAGAATTGCTTTTTTCTCCTACGTTAAAAAAATAGCTTTTCTATCAAAATACTACAAAAATTTACATTTTTCAATTATTTTGTTGAAAAAAATGAGGCGGTAAATTGTGTTCCGATGGTTTGGATATCATACTGATAGTAGTTAGAAACAGAGTCTTGATATAGTTTTGTAGCCCTTNAGGCGGTGGGGGGGGGGGGGGCCGCGGCGCCGCGCCCCCCCCCCCCCCTTGAGACGAAAAAGTCCTGAACGGGGGTACAGGAAAAAATATTTTCGCGTGATAAAAAATTTTTTGTGCCATGGCGGGCCCCCCCCCCTTGAAAAATTTCTGCGTACGCCACTGCTGTCGTCCAACGCTTTTATCTGTTGCTAAGGTCCGTAATAGGAGGGAAAGCTGAAAAACGTACTCTTCTAGTATCCAAATATATTACACACGCTTGAACGAGAAATACAGACACTTGAATAATAATGAAACAAGAGACTCAAACACTTAAGCTTTTCAAAAGACATCAAGTCTTATTTGAAGATACATCCATATCACATGATTTTCTTATTCAATATAATCAACAGAGATAAACGAAGCTGTTCTATATATCTCTGATATTTAAATATCTTATAATTCATGAAACATCTTCTTGTAATTCTTATTAATAATATTTAAGTTTAGAGATTTTCTAAAAAAAAAACATTTTTTTCTCCATATCTAATTTGCTAATAAAAGACAAAATAGAATTTAAATATACAAACATAATTCAATTTTTGTTTATTGTCAAACAACAACAAAAAAGAAAAAGACAAACATAAACAGAATAGAAATATTACACAGTCATAGGTACAGCTGCTTGATTATCATTCGATACTGATGTTTCTTCATTTTGTATTTGTTGTTCATTATTATTTTCAGTTAAATTTAAACTCATTAATCTTTCAACTTCTTGTGGTGCTGTAGCAGCTTCACGATTTGCATGTATACGTTGTGAAACAGCATCAAGATCCGATGAAAATCGATTAAGTGCATCACGAAGACGTTTTAATTCTGTTGAATCGATTGGAGTTTTTTGTGTTGATGATGATGATGATGATGAACTTAATAAACGATTTGATGAATTTGGATCAACTAATTCCATTGTTAATTCAGCAATACGTTTAAATGAACTACCAGCTTCAAGAAGAATATCGGCTGCTTTCGATGACATCGACATGATGTAAAAACCCCAAAAAAAAGAAAATTTTCAGAAATAAAAGAAGAAAAAAACGCCTAACACAAAGATAAATGTTCGTATTGGTATAATATTTTATCCAATTGAAAAAACTTGACTAAATATTCATCTGACATCTATGTCGAACGTATATCATTTGTTTCTAAATATAAATTAACAAACAGTTGAATCAAATGAGAGCAAGCAATTATGTATATATGAGTGTATGAAGAAAAGTTTTTATTCTTTTTGATATGTAAATTTTAGATTAATAAATGTCTCCTCCAGCAACAACAGAAACATCGAATAAATCAAGTAGTGATGGACAAGTTCCTAATGAAAATGGTTTGTCAACAGATAAAAATCAATCTATAACAATATCTCCATTAAATAAAATTGAAAAAGTTGTTGTTCATCCACTTGTATTATTAAGTGTTGTCGATCATTTTAATCGTATGGGAAAAGTAGGAAATTCACAACGTGTTGTTGGAGTTTTACTTGGTTCATTAACAAATAAAATTCTTGATATTTCAAATAGTTTTGCTTGTAAGAAAAATATTTTATTTAAGATTTTTCTTATTGAAAATTTTTATTTTAGTACCATTTGATGAAGAAGATAAAGAGAAAGAGGTTTGGTTTCTTGATCATGAATATCTTGAAAATATGTATACAATGTTTAGAAAAGTTAATGGTAAGAAGAAAAACAAAGAATAAAAATTTTATTTTCATTGAAATTTTTAGCTCGTGAACGTATCGTTGGTTGGTATCATACAGGTCCAAAATTACATCGTAATGATATATCAATTAATGAATTAATTCGAGAATATCAACCTGATTCAGTTCTTGTTATTGTTGATGCTAAACCAAAAGATTTAGGTTTACCTACGGAAGCTTATATTGCTGTGGAAGAAATTCATGATGTAAGACAAGAAACTAAATACCTTTTTGTTTTTTTTCGAAAGACTAAAGTATTATAATTGTTTTATTTAATTAAGGATGGTAGTCCAGCTTCAAAAACATTCGAACATTTACCATCAGAAATTGGTGCTGAAGAAGCTGAAGAAGTTGGAGTTGAACATCTACTTCGGTAGGTTAACTAAAATAAATTATCATTGAGACATAGCGTTATTTAGAAAATAATCTATAAATTAAAATGTACACTATTCAATTCTTTCATTGAGATTTTTGTAAATATTCATTTAAACATGTTCGTTTCGAGATTCTTGTAAAAATACACAATCATTCAAACAAAAGCATGAACAGTGAAGATCTGCAGAGTAACACTTTTTTTCACTTCGACTTGGAAAATTTTTCTTCTCGTAAATTGAAGACAGATTACGTGTTCAAAGATATATATTATGTAATTTTAGGTTCGTGTACTATTATGAATTAAATCTAATTTGAGAGTATTGCGAGTGAATCAATAGATATGTTAGATGTAAGATAAAAAAATAAAAATTGATTAAATTTTTGAATATCTTTGTACATTGAAAATACTTGAAATGCTTACTAAGATCTTTTCAGACGAAGAGATTTTAAATTTAATAAGACGATTCCGTTAGATTAGTACCATTAAATTCACTTGAAGTTAAGGATAATTTCCACCGAGTTTTGCTCTACATAAGAAAAAAAAATTAAAAGGACTTTTAGAATTTCTATAATTTATATCAACTTCGATTCCAACTTATTCCACAAATTATCCTAATCAGTATATAATAGCATGTGAAGTAACAGTTTGAATATATATTTAAATAATCATGATTATGAATGGATGATTTCGTGATTTACAAGAATTTTTCATTTCATAAAATAATATTGTATATAAATCTATTATTTATCAAACCATTTCAATCAAACATTCATAAATATATAGTAAAAAGTCTGAATAACACTACGATACACTGAATTTTTAAGTCAGACAAAAATATTACCCATCATGTAGAAGTGTGATTAATAAATACATCATGGAAAATTGATTTCGATAGTATTTTCACAAATAAACGTCTAATAATATGAAATAATTAGGAAACATATAACAAAAATTAAATTAAAGGGAATAATATCATTTTTATTTTGTGATAAGCAAAATACTGTATAAAAACACTGCAACAAAAGGCTAGAATATCCATCATTATATATCTTTAAGGCAGGATTTGAGTACTTTACGCTTCTTTTATAGAGTATTAATAATATTTTATTATAATCTTGTGAATCACTGATCTCTTCAATGTAAAGCTTCGATAGCAGATCTTCTCTCATCATGAGAAGTAAACCGACTATGCTCTATATGATTTGAAATGTGAAACCGATATAACCGTGTCATATATACGTTGAAATCACTCATCTATTAATATAGCACAAGTTTTCTCCTCGAAATTTCCCATAGAATTATAATTCATTTGTCTTTCATCATTTTCTTTAAGATGAACTTTTTGTAGCTCAATCGAAACTAAACAAAATATTAGAGAAAAAAAACGTACATTTTTTTAAATAGTATTTCTCACTATAATTTCCTATCAACGTTTAATTTTAGTGATATTCGTAATGCTTCAGTTGGTACACTTTCTCAACGTATAACAAATCAATTAATGGGTCTTAAAGGTTTAACAAAAAGTTTATATGATATACGTGCTTATCTTGATAAATTATTAGCAAATAAATTACCATTAAATCATCAAATTTTATCACATATACAAGATATATTTAATTTATTACCAGATGTAACACAACAAGATTTAATAAAATCAATTTATGTTAAAACAAATGATGAAATGTTACTTGTTTATCTTTCATCATTAATTCGTTCAATAATAGCCTTACATAATTTAATTATGAATAAAATTCAAAATTCTGATGCTGAAAAAGCAGATAATACAACATCAAATACAAATTCAACGACAACAACAGCAAGTGTTGATAAAAAAACAGAAAAAGGCAGTGGTGATAAATCAACAACAAATAACAATTCTAGTTAAACAAAAAACACATTTATTATTATTATTATTTTCTTGTTGTTCTTTTATGTTTGTCCATTTTTTTTTTGATTTCAATAAATTCGAGCTCAAAAGAGTCATAAAGAACATACTCAAAAGTTATATAACTTACGAATACAAAAAAGAAAAATCAGTCAAGCGTTAAAAATTTGTTTGTTTCTTTTTTTCATATTCTAGAGAAACAAAAAGAAGCCATAAGAAAGTATACGAAATATGCAATTACGTATTCTTACACTTAATATTTGGGGTGTTCATTATGTTTCGAAATTTATTAATCAACGTATTCAAGCATTAATTGAACATTTATTAAATCCTGATACTAATTATGACATTATTGGATTACAAGAAGTAAAAACAATAATGACTTTAAGAATTAATTTTTTTTTTATGATATATAGGTTTGGAGTAAAGTAGATTATATTTATTTGCGTGATCAATTAAAAACTATATATCCATATAGTTATTATTTTTTAAGTGGTCTTGTTGGTTCAGGATGTTGTATTTTTTCAAAATATCCAATTATTGGTGTTTATGAACATCGTTATACATTAAATGGTATGTACAGTCCTAGACAAAAATATTTGTTTCTCTTAAAGAAGTGCTACTATTTTTTATGATATTGAATTGATATTTTGGGTGCATTCTTACAGTAATAAACTCTGATCGCAAGCATAGACTTGCTTTGCATGATTTAAATGTATTGAACTTATGATTCAGACATTAATCATTATTTTGTGATCATTTTATCTCAATCAAATACTTTCATCGAAATCCTCATTCGAAAGATCACTGTTGTAGCTATCTCTAGTTTGAATTTTGTTAGAAATCATTAAAAAAAAATAAGTGAGGTATTGTCTTTTCACTAAGAATGTTTTTTTGAAAGAACAAAGACTGATTTTAAGTAATACAGATCTTTTCTGCAATAACTTTGATCATTTCATTTGGGAATTCTCATGAGAGGACAAATCTGTTCTGAAATATTTAGAGAGTTAGAACTAAATAAATTTGAGTGAGCACCATGACATTGGCTCACTATTCCAACGCGTGCCAATTACCAAGACCTTGACTATGCGCCACAAGCTTTGATCATAATAAAGTCAACATATGGGACTGCCTTTAGCGCTAGCATAAAAAAAACAGTAGTAGCTTGTGGAATAGCAAAATGATAAATAACAACTTTTTGAGTGCATAGTTCCGCTTAATATGCTTTCCGCAAGGCTAAGGCGATCTATGAATTATTGTTTTAGCAGATGTGAATCGATAGAGGGTGGATTGTTACTTTGCAATTAGAGTTTATTGTTGCACGTATGCACTCAAAACATCAGTTCAATTCATGAATGACGACTACTTTTGTCCATAACTGTAAAATCAATAGCTATTAACTTCGTTTGAAGATAGATGAAAATAGTTTTTCGAAATTTAAACAAAAAACAAATGTCATATGTCATAAGTAGAAAATATAACGTATTCTCTCTGTGAAAAAGTGTACAATAATATCATAATATATATATATAGGTATATCAAGTAATTAGTTGAAATTTTAGTATATATTGATATATTATAGCTTTGCTTCTTTATGTTTAATTTTAGATAGTGAAAGATGATCATCTCACAATTTCCTCTATTCTAAAAATGGAAACAAAGTACTAACAATCGCTAAATGATCACAAGAAATAATCTGTAGTATGATTATCTTTTGAGAAATTTCGAAAAAGGGACATATTTTATATTGAATTATCTATTATTGATTAAATTTATTTTCTATATCTATCGAGAATGTATAGTGATTATGCTTAATAAAGTCTCTACTCAAATCATTATTGAATGAAAATCCAAATAGCTTTTAATGACAATCAAGAGAGAAAAAAATCTCATCTCTCAGATGATCATTTTCTTAAAGTAGGGGAATAAAATATTTGATCAGTAAATAAAATTACTAACAGTCAATTAAATCAAAGGGTAAATACAGACATTGAAATACGTTATTATGTGATTCATTTTCTTTTTCTCTTCTTTTCTTTAGCTTCTTGTACTATGTAGTGCAGATCCTATGTACAACATAGATATAGATCTTTTTTTTTTTTGCTTCTATTCTTGCTTCTGACTTCAGCTTAGAGTCTACGAGTAAGAAAAAATGGATATGGTACAAGTTGATCAATATGAAAGTGATATCTTAGATGAAGATATTATGGAAGAAAATGATTGAAATAAATGGAAATGAAAGATTTTACCAAAAAAAAAAATCCAAATATTCGGTTGAAGAAGTTACATTTGATAATATTGATGGAACAGATATATCAATATGAAATACATACCCAAAACATTCTATGAACTACACAAAAAATAAAAGAATAGTTTCTCACAAATGCAACTAATGTAGTGCATCATGATTGACTATTTTTGAATTCTAGGTATGTATAATAAGTTTATGGGTTTTTCGAACAATATGAATTTCGTTCAGTTTTTCTACCGCTACCAAGCGATCATGGTAACTTCAAGTTTGACAGCTATTTATATAGCAGCAAAATAATTGAGCAAAATTCATATGACATCGAAAATAGTCAATTACAATGCAGTATAGTAGATACAGTAAAGCCAACCGTCATGAACTTTAATATAGAGCAAGTATTCATCTGCTATATTATGTAAATAGTGGGAAAAGTTGCTGTTTGTAAAATTGAAACTGAGCAATATGATCATCAGGTTATGTTGGTGCGGGTACGAATGATATGAAAGCCTATTCAAATCCATACCTATATCCTGTTTTACAGAGATTAAAAGAAATTCTGCTGTTAAAATCTGTACTTTTTAATTGAACAAATCTGAAATATTTGCTGCTAATTATAACTATATAATAAACTGATCATTTTGTAATTAAATATTGATTATTCAAGTGTTGATCATTTAAGTTACAATTTTAAAAATAATATACGACCTCAAATAGATTTCGTTTTTAATTTTAAAATTTAATTTAGGTTTTCCACATAAAATTCAACATGGTGATTGGTTTTGTGGTAAATTAATTGGTCTATGTAAAATCCTTGTTAATGGATATGTTATTAATGTATACAATACACATTTACATGCTAATTATCATCATGTTATACCAAAAGATATTTATTTAGGACATCGAATATGTCAAGCATATGAATTAATACAATTTATTGAAAGTACATCATCAGCTGATACAACTCATTTAACAATTCTTTTAGGTGATCTTAATTTAACAAATGATGATTTAGGTTTTAAACTTATTAAAGGTATTCTTCAATTAAATGATTCATTTCTTCAACGTATTAATAAAGTAAAGTAAAGAAAAATAATTTAATATCAAAACTTAATATTTATTTTCTAGGATATTTTTGATCCAACTGTTGGTAATAGTGGTTTAACATGTGATTTACTTGATAATCCATATGTTATTCCACATCCATATCAAGGTGAAGGTGAACGTATTGATTATATTCTTTATCAAGCACAAAATGGTTAGTTATGACTTTTTATTTCATTTATTATTTAATGCGGTGCGAAACACAAGCATTTATGTAATTAGTCTCGTACACATTCGGCTCCCATGCTTCGCATATTTTTGCTATAGAAAAAGCTGTATTTTACGTTGCGATGATTAAGAAAATAGTGAGTGACGTGAAACTCGTTCGAACTTTACCAGAGAGAGATCGATATCTTGAGATGATACAAACGTTTTTCAATCTTCAATACGAATTTTTAATCATTTTCAGTAAGTTTCGAAAAAAAGAAGCGATTTAGCTTTCATATTTTAATAGAGATAATTAAAAAGTGATGTGCTCGTCTCCAGCTAGCTGCTCTGAGTAGGAACTATAATAAAAATTTTCGACAGAACAAGATTGGCCCTAGGTAAAACCGTTCATTGTTCTTACGTTAATTTGAACTTTTTTGTCGAAATTTGAAATCACTGTGCAAGTTTTCTGTTTTATTTTTCATTTACTGGACATACTCATTCAGAGTTATCGTGATGATCTCGAAAACACAGAGATCGAGTCTATACCATTTGTTTTCCAATCTTCAATATGACTTTCCGTTTCCTTAGAGGAAGCGATCCAAAATTGTTTTTAAGCTTCGAGATAATTAAAGCGATGACAGCAACAAATCTTGATCCATACTCATTTTTCTCATAGCTAAAACAACTATGAATAGAGCTAATAATAAATAATAAATCAAATTGATAATCAAACGTTCAATCAATAGTCTTCATTAGAAACATGTTCATACCTGTTAATAGACTTCTCTTTTCGGAATGATTACTTTTCATTTTGACTTTCATCAGATAATTAATTGACATATAACTATGTTTTGAAGAAAAGTGTGTTATTATAAGTCGTAGAAATGATTATTCGTATTTTTAATGAGATATCGATATGTTCGATCATTGACATTCGTAGTTTCGCACCGTATTTTGTAGTCGNTTGCTCCGAAGTTGATGGCGTCATGGCTGGAACTGGTATCCGAATCACATGCTGTACGACCGACAGATGTAATTCAGCCATCACTGTTTCGAGTTCGATCGGCCTGGCATTCGTTCTTCTTGTCATTGGCAGCATCATTCAAAACATTTTAAAATATTGAATACTAGCTATTTTGGCACTGAACTTTAGAATAAACTATCTGAGATTCTCATACTCGATTTGATTTTATTCCGATTTCATCTGTTTTTTTTTCCTTATTCGTAAACATTCTTGAATAAATTACTCGCGTCTATTACATCTTTCGATATATGATTTCCATCAATAGTTTGCATACATGGCTTTGCTACATAGATTTCGATCCTTTTGCAACAGGACATTTTCTATCGATGTCATTCTTCGCTAAATCATTTAGTGTCAACGAAGATATCGCGACCAGCGATGAACGATAATCGAAAAGACCTTGAAACTTCTTGATATGACTTCATAAGAGAAATACAACTCTCAAATATATTGTGACCGATACATGAACTTATGTCATTATCAATCTGTAAATAGAATCCTCAACTAGGTCATTGATTAAATTCTTTTCACATGCTGAAATCAGCAGTTGATTTCTTTGAACAAATCTTTACAAGAGATAGAGCCAATTAGAACTTTTCAATGATAAAACGAATCAATGTGATTAGAGTTTTTGATAGATAGAAACTGTTGTATCACACTGAAAATCTGCATTTAAAATTGTGCTCTTGATCAATGTTTTACTTTTCTGTGCAGATTTAGCTGATGAAAAACAATTTGTCTCCAGTTTTATCGTTCTTAATTGAAATTCTGACGAAAATCTAATGACTAGTTCACGTGAGCTAGCTTGGCAAGGAATGGATGCGGCTTCCTCTATCTAATATCAACAAAGCATTTTTCTATTCTCAGTATATTTTGAAAAGAGATGTGTTATTGCATATTTCCAATATTTATTCATATCATAATGCCATTTTGGTGAATTTATTTATCTTTTCTTGCATAAATGCAATACGAGTGAATCGAGATATCGAATTTACAAATGGGTATTTTTTGTGTGGAGTGTCAGGTAAATTGCATTAATCACCACAATTGTGTTCTAGATAATATCTTCAATCTTCTTGTTGTCTTTGGATAACGATAAAGCGTGTTTTTTTTTATTGCATGAAGTATCACTACACTGAAAGAAAAAAGTTGATTGATAAACATGCTTTCTCTTTGCTTTTCTGCGCAAAATTAATGTCCTTGCACAAGAAACGCTTTTACGACCGTTTTCTTTTGTGCAGAAAAGTATTCAATACGTTATTAGGGAATAGTATACTCTATTGACTATCAACAATCGTTTCTTTCAACATCCAATGAAGAGAAATCCTAAGTCAATACTCAGGTAAAGTGATACGGAGTCAGCAGATACGGATAATCATATTACAATATTTTTGGACGGTTTCCATGCAAAAAAACATTGATGCGAAAAGTCGATTCGAATTCGGTTAAAAATATGCATCGTTAATCGATTAAAATCGATTTCATAATCATAAAGAAATCGTTTATAGTCAGACGATATTGATTTAAAATAATTTTATTTGCACCGTTTTAAATAGGTTTTCATCAAAAATAATCAGAAGAGTCGATGAAATTTCTATATCTTTGATTATTTTAGTGTGTTAATCGATAAATATCGATGTTTTCGTGATGTTTATATAATGATTTGTTTACATTAGTTACATCCCAGTAAGACAAACTTATGCATTCAATCGTGTAGAGATAAGAATGTTCAGAATACTATTTAGAATAATATCATTTAAAAGTCTCGGAAAGCATATTATTACTTGTAAAATACTTTACATTTTCTGTGAAGATGTTTTCTACTATTAAATTTGTGGTTTTTAGAAGAAATTTAAGTGACTTGTTAACCAAATAAGTGTACATAGAAAATTTAAAGTACTACACAACTAAGAATATGTTTTTGGAGAAATTCTATATGACATTATTCTAAATAATTGTTATTTAATTTCTCACATTTATGATAAAGTGTTAGAATTCTGAACATTCTTATCTCTGTACAATTGAATGTATAATATGATTTTGTGGAAGATATGCTGACTAAAGAGCATCTTTTTTTTGTACAATTGGTGTTTTTTCGTTGAAATAACTTTTTTGCCACTTTTCTGCATAAATATTACGAAATTGGACAGAAAAGCGAATAAAAAAAGAAGAAAATCAAAACAAAAGAATCAACGAAAACATGATTGTTTTGGTACCTTCTTTTGAAACGATCGTAAAAGACACATTAAAAATCGACTAAAACTTATAATTTTCGTTCAAAAAACGCTAAATATATCGTTATATCTCTCTAATTGGGATGCAAGCGAATTGTGAGACGTTTTTGTTCAGATTAATCAATAACAGTTTTTATATTTTCTATGAAATATCTTCTACCCTAAAGAACACATACATTTCATATCAAAACTTTTCGAAGTTTTATATATCGACAGAGAGTGATAGCACTGTGATTTCAAATAACATCAAAAGGAAAATTTACACCGAATTGAAGTGCGTCGAAAATAGAATTCACTAAAGCTAAATAATTAGCGTTAGGACAAATTTTCAATATCAAATTCAGAAAATTCCCAAAAATTTCACGTCATATCAGCAGGGAAAAATTGCTTTGGTGAGGTAGTTTAAACGAGATCTTATTTAAAATAATGAAGATTAGAAACTAATATTTATTTGTTAAAACTTGATGAACATAATCAATAGTCAGTATGATAAATATTACTGTTTTTAACATTTGGAAGATGAGACGTATGCGAATATAAAATAGTTTAAAATAGTTCAATATTTCTTTGCATGTTTGGCAAAACATCTGAAATTTATTTTTTTTAGAGTTTCTTCATCAAAATAATTGTGTTGCATGTCTGATAGTCCTTATTTTCAGCTTCACTCTTGATTATTGTTCCAATATTTTCAAGTCAGGTATCCAGTACTCTTTGATATTCATAATTTTAAATGAGATAGAGTTTGAACTACCTCACCAAAGCAATTTTTCGCTACTGACACTTCTAAATTAATACAAAGCTAACAATTACTTGGCATGGAATGTATGAGTGTATGGGAGTGAGCATTTATCTTCTGTTCAACTGAACTCACGCGCACTCACACTTTATATAAATTGTGAAAAATAGAGAAATTTCAAAATTTGGGATTTTTCGTAATTGTTCTACAACTAAAGATGAATTAATAAAAAAATAAGATAATGAAACTCGTGCGGGATGTATATTTCATGATACATATTGGTCGCATATTCTAAATTTTCACCTCTAGTATTATAGATTTGACTGCCAAATGGATGGCTTTGCAAGAATCCAGTCAAAGACGAAAGCTTATAGAATGCGTATGCATATATAAATCGTTATAACATGGGATGTGTAGGAACGTGTCACAGCATAAACTATATTCGCTATCACATGCATACAATTTAGTGCATGTATACGACTAATATTGTCGCTGCATTCGAGGACATCAGAATGCTATTGTAGAGAATCCACTCATGTGCATTCAAGACAACTTAAGAATGGCCAAAAAATGAAGCACATATGATAAACATAAATGGATACACAGGAGTATTCCAGAGACCAGATTTGAACCTTGATGCTTTGATGTATGAGACGAATTTGTTCTTCATTGAATCATTTACTTACATTAGAAATGCAATAAAAACTGAAGGATGTATTGATCATCTGATAACTAATAGACACATGTGAATATGTATACTAAAAACTATAAACGAATTCGAAAATGTAAACAAGGTTTCCGAGGCAATATTGTGTGAATATATGAGAATGACTTCATTTTAATGAAAAATAAATAAATAAACGCTGAAGAAAAAACATATATATTCTTGAATGGAGTAGCAATATCAAGCATTGAAAAAATGTTCACTTTATGTCAAGTCCTCTGCCAATATGTGGGACTTCGCATACCTCATGAAATGGCAAGTATATCAGTAGTAACAGAAAAAAGCAAAATATAAATACTTTACTAGCAGACTTTTCTATTTTCTTCAGGATTTGTATTTAAACATGATTTATTTATCGACATGAATGGAAGAAACGATAGAATAAATTTATATTGAAAAAATGATCTTTAGTATATACATGATGGACAAGAGCATATTTCTGTCTGCTGGAGGACTTTTCTTAAAGTGAATCATCCAATAAAAGTTAAAGAAAGTTATCAATAAGTTTATAGGAATTAGAAATGAAGTTTTACAAAGACAGAAGCTAGAATAAGGAACAAAGAGTGTTACTTTTCAACGAATTTTTTTTTTGCAGCTGATAAAATCACTTTTGAGCTGGAAGTATGTCTATCATGTAGAATTTATTGAACTATGACTAATTTTAGAAGAATTCAGACACTTAGCTAATTGCTACCGATATACGATATTTTTTAAGATGAATGTCGTGATCCTTGTCAGAAACACTAGAAAAAGTAATTTCAGCTTGAAAATTTCCCTCTATTTTAAGTTTTAAGATATTATCACTCAAGAAAATGCATATATTTGTATAAAAAGAGATTCAGCTTGAGGCTGCTACAATTTATAATTTATTAATATTCAATCAAAACTTTGATGAATTTCTTTCTTTCATGAAAGAATTTTGTTTTTTCTTATTATTGTATTGAATAACGAGATTAAATGCTTTCAACAATATATTATAAGATCGAAATTCTTTTCAAAAAAAATAAATTTAAAAATTTAATTAATTATTGTTTTTTATATTTTGTATAAATGTTCAATCAAAAAGTATAGATGAACTTCGTGTGCTTAAACGTTTTTTTCGCTTTAATTTACCTGATTAGAAAATAATTACATATGGAACAATACTTTTATTAGGTGCAGCTTTATGCACATATACGATTCAATATTTATTTATTTGACAAAAATAACAAAAGATTTTCGTACCATTATATGCAGAAAGGCTTCTATCAAGTGTTGCATTTAAAGAAGCATGTTTGCAATTTAAATATAATTTAATTATGTTTGTTTTAATAAATTTTGCTGGGTATTGAAAAAAATCTAATAAATAGAAAAGGTCAAGAATTTTGTTTTTTTTTTATATTTCAGAGGTTTTCTTGTTGGATTTCGCATAGGAGTTTTCTCGCTATGTATTTCACGTCTTAATCATGGTACACAAATAATGAGTTCAATAGTTGTTAATAATATAGCACAATATATTGATGCACTTGTTAGATTTAGTAAGTTTAAAAACAAAAACAAAACTAATATTTTATTAATATATGCAATATTGTTTTTTTTTCACTAGTTGATACTTTAATCATGATGATGAAATTAAATATTCATTTAACAATAGTTTGTCTTATTGGTGCTGCTCTGAGTTTAATTGATGTTAAAATAAGTAGTAATGCACATAGACGCATATCAGAAAAAGTTCAAGATTCATCAGCTGGCACATTTGAAATAGCTGGAGAGACAATTCAAACAATCCGAAGTTTTAGAAATGACGATGAAGAATTGAAAATACTCTTTTACAATCATATCAAGTTTCATGAATACAAGCACTTTTAAATGCCGCACAAAAATGGTTTGTTGAAGTAAGTCATTGTTCCATGATATTACAAAGTTAGCCGAACAAGTATATTTTGAATCGAAAAAGTGACATGACTTTTTGTTTTGGTATCTCGTTTTTTTCGAAAAATTTTCTTCATATTCGGTATGAAAAATATACTTTTCGTTAGAAAAAATGAGACATTTTTCTTGTTTGTACATTTTTGATCGCTGCAGTACTCGTTTGTTTTTTAACCAAGTTATTTCATTATTATATACAAAAGCATTTCTATAAAGAGATAACTAGTGTTCGACTTATTAAATGTGTCATCCTTTTTCTTCGCATAAAAAGTAGAAATTAAAAAAAGGCACTACAGTCTGACATTCTTTTTTAAATAAAAAAAATTAAATGTATAAAATGAGGGTCGACACAAAGCAAATGGGTTATTTTTGACCTATGCTTGTTAAATATATGCCTCGAAGGTCATGATATAGAGTTGAAAACTTTAGCATAGCTTCTCCTTTACAGCCTCAACATGTCCTAAAAATTTCATACAATTTGAATGTATCCTGGTTCAAGATCGACCTTTGAAGAGGGGTCTTAATTACAGGTATGGTATGAGACAAGTATTTGAGGATATAGGCCATGATTATTATATTCCTGAAAACGAAGTTGTAGAATAATTAAATCTCAACTATTCGACAATTTGTACCGAAGATAAAAACGCCAAATAATAGAACAGTTAGTTTTCTATAAAGTGAGATCTTCAGTATTCGACAATGTTTTTTTTTGTCACGTAACTAAATCAAAGTTATGAAAGACGCAAAAATAATTTGTTCGCGTTTTATTTTTAACTATATGTTAATCGACAACGAAGCATCGTAGTTAGGCTAAGAACGGCTCATTTTATAGAATACTATTATGCTACATAGTTTTAACAAAATTTAACTTCTGACTTCAAGATGTAGAACAAACAGATGAATCCGCAAAATACTCATGTTTGAAGCCCCTCAATTGATTTATCATTGTTGAGTCAGAAATATGTACATCATGTAGACCCAAATGAGTTTTGAATATCCTGAAAAGAGTTCGGGCTCTTAGGTTATTGTTGCGTAGATATCTCAAACTTACGGTAGTTCTCCTCCGAAACCCCAGGGATACTGGTTTTTGAATTTCGACTTAAAAATTGGAAAAGAGATAGACCTTAATGAGAATAATGTATTGGGAAAGTTTCTAGTCTTTTGATTTAATTCTATCCTGAAATAAGGACGTAAAGTCTGTCTCTGCAAAGTTCCAATTTGAAATAAAAAAAAAACAGTTTTTCAAGTGTTCTTGAGAGGAACTACAGCAGTGACTGAAAATATATCACAAAATACAATATCTCGGTAGCAAAAATCTAAAACCCCGAGCTGTTCTCAGAGTATTTAAAGCTAATTATAGTCTACATGATGCTTATAGTCAGGACTCAAAAGCTATTAATCAGTTAGGAAAGTTCCCTCGTCAATCGAATGAATCTTTCAATTATTATAAATCAATTTTTTTCTTTTCTTTATTTTCATTAGTTAGCACAACTTTGCATGAGTATTATCATACTTTCATATTTTTGCAAAACTTGTACGAGATAATTATATAACTGGACCTAATGTATTAACATTAATTATTTATCAACTAACACTTGGTGGAATTTTAAGTGTATATATATAGTTTCAAAATAAAAAAGATTATCATTATGAAATATTTCTTAGGATATTTCACAAATTTATACATCACTTATGAAAGCAGTTGGTGCAACTCAATCAGTTTCCGATTATTTAGATCGTAAACCAATGCAAAAACCAAGTAGTATTATACAACCACATGAATTACAAGGTGATATTGAATTTGATAATGCTTCACTTATTTATCTCCGAAGACCAAGTGAAATTGCTATTCAAGTATATTGATTAACTTTTATTAAAAAGAAAAATTTTTATTTTTTTTATTTTTGAGAGTATGTCATTTAAAACAAAATCAGATAAAACGTGTGCTTTTATTGGATCATCTGGTTCTGGTAATAAAATCTTCATTTTCAATGATATATATATATATATTTCATTTAGTTCTGTACTGTTAGGAAAACCTACATGTATTATCCTACCTATGGAAAAATGTTAATTATGGTCGAGCAATTCCCGAATATGATCATAAATATCTTCATAAAAAATAGCTATGGTTAGACAAAAACCAATTTTATTTAATAAAACTATTCAAGAAAATATTATTTATTCTATAGATAATCATGATGAAACAAAAATGTTTCAACCAGCTGATCAAGTTAATCTACATGGATTTATTAGTGAACTTATTAATGAATATAATACTAAATGTGCACAACGTGATAATCATTTATCAGATTTCGATTATTTTAGGTTAGCTTTATTTTCGATTTTCTTTTTTTGTTGATCATAGGTGGTCAAAAACAACGTGTATTAACTGCACCGATTAGTAGCTATTTTTGTTTAAAATAATTTTTTAATGTTCTTTTCGGTTTATTATAGTTTCAAGATGAATTATATTATTAGAAAAATAGTCAAGAACCTCGAACTCTACCTATATTAGCATATCGATTAAGTACACTCGAACGATGTGATAAAATATTTGTCATACACAAAACACATTTCATTGAACAAGATACACGTAATGAATTGATGACAATTGAACATAGAATTTATTGAGAACTTTTTCAACGACAAGAAATGAATATTGATGATGATTAGATGGTTTTTACTTTTATCTATTTTGTTTATTCAAGCATTTGTTTGTTGTTTCTTTTTATATTGTGCACTAAATATACTTAAAATATCCACAAAGATTATCTCATTTAAAGAAAGTCTAATTTTCTTCATATGGGAAGATCCTAGATAAACTCAGAAATGTTAATCTATATTAGCTGTCTTAACGAGAAATAATCGTAGCCCATTGGAAAGAAAAAAATCCTTGTGTTCACAGAAAATTGCCGCCTGACGATAGTAAAATCCACTTAAAATCTGCTGAAAATTAGAAAAGTTGGGTTCACTATCAGTGTGGCATAAATTTGGTGTTCTTTTGACTGACTAGTAAAATCCTTCTATTCACTAGCAGACTTTGGGTAAAGTGAGCAATTTCAGAATCTTTGACAGCCCTCACATTCGGGTCATATATCTTGCAGAAGCACGCTAGAGTGTTCCACGATGCTATTTGCAATAACAAGAGTCATGTGCAGTCTCGCAAATTTTTCTTGAAAACTTTAAAAAAAAATTTATTTCTTTGGAGGGGTGGGGGACATGCAGTTCTTTTCAGTTACTTTTCTTTTCAGTTATGC